TCGAACAATTAAGCATGATCACTCCGTGGGTGCTTCCATGTATCTATATCCCTCGCACCCAGTGCAAACTGTGTGTTCGTGATCGCTGGTCACCGTTCCCTTTGGCTGTGCCAATGCTATTCGGACTGATTACGTCTGTCCCCATCGCGACAACACGCCCAACGCGCGCGTTGAAATCACCCAGTAGGAATAGACAGTCGGTCCCCGGTACGGACCGCAACATGGAGGCTAACTGAGCGCCAAACTGATTCCTTGTGTCATCAAGATAACACATGGTGGGACCATACGTGCTAATAAAAATAGCAAACCTACTTCTTCCAAGTCGCAGGCGAAACGTCATCAGTCATAGACTGATGCCAGTCTGCTCGGCCACTAGCTGGCCATTTAGGCTATCGGATATTGCACATCCGCCTCCATGTTCAGGTGATGTTGTGATGGCGTTCCCCACTCAATAGAACCTGTTTCATACAGCTTGCTTTGGTTAGAGAGCCTAGTTTCGCCGAGTGCGGCAATATCGATCTCGCAGCGCTCGAGTTCCATCGCGACCAATGCGGTGCATCGGTTGGGTCGCTCTCTCGTGTGCCTGTCAAGTGGTGTACGCCCGTTTCAGCACCCCATGCTAAGAGCTTTGTGCGGAGGCATACAATAGCAGTGGCGGGCAATCGCTCGTGTGGTGACCAGCGTTGAAGGAAGTAGTTGGTTATGAGGAGAGTAGGTGCAGGGAAGGAGAAGGAAAGCAAGCGTCAGCTATAGCATCTTTTATCTTAGCCACCCCGCATTATGCAGCAGCTAAGGCGATCCTTTTCCTAAGGCCACTGTGCGATGGCCGATATCGTATATATATATATATATATATATATATATATATATATATATATATATATATATATATCCTTATTTGGTAACAGACATTGTACCGTCAAAACCGTGGCAAAATAGGGAAAATGAAGTGCAGTTACAGTAAGCTTTTCTTGCTTTTACGCATGCCACTTTAGGTTTTTCCTTTTGAGTTTTTATGTTTCAATTGACAATGACTAATAGGTGATGCGGTCGACCAATATTGTCGCCACTGATGTCTGTTGCGCACCATAACATTCAACAATTGCAATCAATACGAGTCCGAATTGCGTAGTCCCCATCCTTGAAGTCGGACCGATCCGACGGATGCTAAGCTTTAGGTTGCTATCTTCGCGCTGCTTCTGCACCGCGGCACCTTTTCCAATCGTTTCCGGGAAGCGCAAATAACCCTCCACGAGGAACGCGATAGATTAGAATGCTCAATACGTGTCTAAGCCAACGCTTACGGTGTCGGAGAATACCTTTTAGGGGCAAGATCTTTTGTCCCCAAGCATTCGGTCTCACTTCTGTGATTTTGCCATCGCACCCGTGCAATCCTTCGCAAGCAATGGTTATCAAAAACTGACAATCGTTTCATCTCTTCCATTGGCATAGGGTAAGTCTCACAGCCGTATAAGAGAACTTCACGGACGAAGGCAAAGCACACTTTACCATTGGGCATGAGACTGACATCGCCCCGAGGCCATAAGTGTCTCAGTTTGATGAATGTAATGCGAGACTTTGCGGTCCGTTGTGAGACCTCATCTCCAACATCGCCGCTAGCCGTAATGCAACTCTTTAGATAGGTGAAGCAGGGGACTTGTTCCAGAACGTCACCAGCAATGGTGAGAGCAGGCCCAGGCATCTGCAAATCCTGGAGTAGTTTTTTACATTTGCCTCCATCGCTAAGCGGTTCAAAGCGCTCTGGACGGCTTGTGGATCGTCTCCCAGCAAAGCAGTATGAACGGTGTAGTCCAAGTCCGCGATTCTGTCGCCAGGGAGAAAGAAGCTCAGCACCGTACTTTGGGACGACCTTCCATATTTTTGTTAGACAACATACGCTGGTGAAATTGTATAGGAAATGGTAAATATAGCAACTTTAGCGAACATCACTGGTGACAGCAAATGAAGAGAAAAGGCTGTCGTAAGTCTTAACTTGGGCCATGTAAATGTAGAGTTTCTTCAGGTCGATTACAAACTTGTCGGGCTGGTCTTTTCTTACTAGGCAGTACCACAACGCAGATTCATCTGTTGAATCAGATACCGCTCAGATGCCCAAGAACACTATTATTGTTGGCCGTCGGTGGAAGTAACCGGTTCAAGAAGTTGACGGCGACTGAAGATTTTGTCGATGCAACCTCTGTTTGGACGAAAACCGGTTTGTTCCTCTTGAGAAACGTCCTCTAGTTACGGAAGGCCTGCTGAGTAGGACGGACTCCAAGAGCTTTTACACAACAGAGGTCAACGAAATTCCTCGGTACTTGGCGCAATCTTCGAGTAGCCTTTCTCGTCAATCACCGATTCTCCACATATAATTGGAACTTTCACATCAATCCAAACCTTCGGGAACGGCGATAAGATTTCGCTAATTAATTAAAATCACCAACTGATTAACATATTTCATCCGGTCGTTCCTCTCACAGCATTCGGTTGTGTTCTGTTCTCGCCATTCCAAATAAATTAATTACTTGGTGTCGTCGACACGCTCATTCGGGGTCGATTTGGGGCTACTGGCACTAGCAAACCAGAGATCGGCGTGGGGTCATTGCTGATCCCTCGCCAGCTACCGTCACACTTAGGTTCATGATTAGTGGCGAGACAAGATCTGTCTCAGTGTCCACTTTTTCGGGCAATAACTAGAGCTCGACGCTCTTATTCCAAGAAAGCTAAGTCATTGTGGGTATTGCTTACCAGTTATAGGCTTCTGGTAGCACGGATACTACTGGTTGTCTTTTTGGACTTGGAAGCGCTACTCTTGCTCCCTTTTTTACTACTTGTGAGTTCTTTTGCCCCTCCCCTCCCGCTTAGCCACCCCCACCAACCACGATTTCAATTATGAGGGATATTATGACTACTTTCGGCACACCATCCGATTGTTAGGTTTCCGGAACGATGTCCGTCCGTTACTGGCGACAGCCAGTGTGCTTCTGTCTCCTGATTTTTTCTTTTCTTTTGTGGCACAATAGCTGAGATCTTTTCCACCTGCAGCTAACGTGCACGATGATGATGATGATGATGATGATGATGATGATGATGATGATGATGATGATGATGATGATGATGATGATGATGATGATGATGATGATGATGATGATGATGATGATGACGATGATGACGATGATGACGATGATGAGGATGATGATGATGGTGATGATGATGATGATGATGATGATGATGATGGTGATGATGATGATGATGACGTCTGATGACTGATCACTCCACGGCTATAATATCCGCTATTATATACAATACTGCGGGTTCAGACAATGACATCATTTGCCTCAAGATCGGAGCCACTTTAATATATAGTCACTTTCATACTTTGACGGACGTATCCGCCTACTACGATACTCGAAAATCAACTTCCAATCGCTGTGCCAAGCTGTGCTCCTGAAGCTCAATGGCCTAGTGATCGCGGCGATACCCGCCAAGCACTGCGCCGAGTTCCACTCCCAATTCAGGCTATCTCTACCTGATGAGTCCAGACCAGAACGAAGCCCTCCGTCATGAAGTGCAGGAATGAGAGATAGCCACACCGAGACCCTCCACTTCGGTGACGGTCCCAATGATTGTATTGGCCGTGACTGACTTCGAAGTGAACCGAAAGCACAATTCAGATTACATGTCGCAATCCAAGACACGGGGGGTGTACTTCAACATCCGACTATTGCCTATCTGCTTATTTTCATCAACTTGCATATTGTCCGTATTTGAGTTTTAGCGATTTTCGCATCTACAGGTGTGTTTTTTTGTACTCTGTCTCAGCTGTCAGCTGTATATCATCAAAAGTGGTAGTCAGACTGTTCGGAACACAATAGGTGGGGTCTTTCATCTCCTTATGAATTCTGCTAAACATGGGTAAGAATTGAGTCGGAGCTTCAGTTGCTTCGCTCGCATATGTTGTCCCGCAGAATCCCTATCTACTTACATGACAACAGCGCGCAAGATATTTATGATAACACATTACGATTTCTCAGCTTTCCGGATAGATTATTTCTTATTCCTCAGATATCTTCTCAATTGCTTTACGTAGCATCGTTCTGTGTAATGCACTCGGTGCAGAACTCTCAGTTTTGCACCAGTACCAAAAGAAGTGTAGCAGTAAACACGAGTCATTTGCCACTACTTCGATGACATTGACAATCATTTAAAAGATGCCTTCTCAGTCAGTGGATGATCATTCTCATTTTGTTTAACATACTTTGACATCACACTTTGCCTCATACTTTTCATACTGTTTTCGTTTATCCAATTCGCACTTGTGCTGCGTTAGCTTCAAATGCACTCACCGTGATTTAACATCAATTAATTTGCCCAGTCCTAGAATCCAACCATCCGTTGTTCTTTTACTGAGTAGTCGTTTTGTGATTCTTGCCTTGTTTATATGGTTTAGATGCACAACAAAATCCTGTCGTCATGTGCCACCGATTTCCTCTGCGTTTCAGTTTCAAGTCGTATTTATTTTTATTTTTCTGACGAAACTGATCGTGAGTGGAGTACATTGTTTGAATTGAACAACGCCGAATAGCTTGTTCTTTTCTATTGCGTAACCTTGCATTTTTTGAACTCTTCACTTTTCGCAACTGAGCTACAGCTACCTAGATGTCTCCACAGTGCATCGCGGGTTTGTGAAACGTTTTCTGAGCGACATCTGGATCACTGCTTTGCAAAAGCTTTTCGATGTGGTTATCTGGGCACTAATCAACTTCAGCGGCTAAACTGCCTAGGCATACCAACAAACCAGCGATCCCACCATTACAAATATTCTTTACCTGTTGGCTCTGGGCACAGCAAAAGTTGTCATTTTTACGACTTAATTATGATCAGTTATCTTGGGTGCTTCTATGCGCCACCAAGTACCTCGCGAATCTTCTTTCTCTCTCTCTTCCGCAGAATGTGCTAATTTTTTTCACTAGATCATCTCTTTTTGTTTCGATTTTCAGCGTAAATGGAGTTACATCATATCAACCAGCTTGGGAATTCCCCAAGAAATTTTGCCAAATGTCCATCCATCTAGGCAAGTTTGTTTTCTCTCTCAATACGCTCCATCCAAATACTACCTCCTGTTGTTTTCAGCATAGTCTTCTTGTCTTCAAATTTCACAAAGTAACTAGATACTGTGATTCGCAAGCATTTCCATTGATGACTTTCAGAAATAGCTCCAATTTGAACCCTTGTTTGTGTTGCGTTTCCGCGTTGCCTAATCGCCACACGCATACGCTTGTCCGTGGTTCTATGTAACCCACTCTCCTGAGCTGACGTGGTAAGTCGATGTCACGTCTCCCATTTTGGAAGAGAATCCACATGAACTCGCAGTGTTAAGACGAAACAAGGCTCCGGGACCCGACGATCATTCCCCATCCTTGTGGAAATATGGCCCTAACTCTTTGTCGACGGGACTTTTTTCCTTTTTGAACACGATTTGGGGACACTGAAGATGTGCTTTCAGACCGATGACTATCAACTGCCGTGCTCATCCTCAAGAGGGGTCAATGTACTTTTTGCGAGAATCATTGAGGCATTATCCTTATTTCCATTGCTTCAAAACGTCTCACGGGTATCATTCTTCGACGAGTTACTGGTCACCGTGAGGACCGAATCACCGAAAACTAGGCTGGCTTCCGCACTGGCTGTAGTTGCATCAACCACTTATTTATTTTTCGCCAACTTTTAGAGCAGACACACCAATAGACGACTGACTATGGTGGTTTTCCTGGACTTGAAAGCCGCCTTCCACTCGGATGTCCGCGCTAGCTTCTGGCACTGTTTATTCATGAAGGGCGTGTCAGCTGAACGCCGTTCCATTCTGAAGCTCCTGTGCCGTGATTCCTGAAGCCGTGTAAGGGTCTACGGGAAACTCTCTCCTGAGTTCCCACGACAAGTGGGGTTCGCCAGGGTTGTTCGGTATCTCCTTTCTTCAACTTTGTGATCGGAATGATCATGAATGACTTGGTTCTTTCAAACTATTCCGGAGTGGAAATTCTGACAGTCGACCATCTGATAAATCTGGAGTACACGGATGACATAGTCCTCCTTGGATCTGATGCATTGGCTATCCAAATACTGCTGTATAGACTTATGCGTAGCGTTGCACGCGTCGGCATGTACTTTGAACATTCAAAATGCAGAGTGTTGTTGAAGGACTGGGTGGACAGACCGGTTTTAGCTATTTCCGAACAGCCACTGGAAGTATCGGATCGGTCCACTTACATTGGTAACTGTGTCACCCTGGTGGTCACATCACTGAGAGATTACTTCGCATACAAACAAGGCCCGTGTATCTTTCCAGAGGATCAAACATCTATGGAGGCCGCGGGATGCCATCATCATTATCCTCGTCATCATATTCAATACACGTTAGCTGAGGACGAGAAATACACCTCAACTAATGTGCCGCAATACAAAAGATACGATAGTAAAAATTACATAACAAAGAATTCAACATGCAAATGATTGTCTCACGCATTCCGCATGAGATCGTAATTGGAGGGCAATTTAAATGGGAGGAAGTGGACAAAGATACTCAAAACACAAAAGCCATTGGGATCGGCTTTTCGTCATATCAGCAAGGGTGTCCGACCGAATGTGTTCATCGTTCTTCGGACCCCAGCCAGGCAGTCTGGATACACCAACCGACGACAGTTTCGAAGTATGGGTTTTCATTCCTTTCGACCAAGTCATTGCTTGGCTTTCCCTCCTCCACTTCCAATCGCACCCCTAGCGCGCAAACAATGCATGTCGCGGGAGTCGGTGTGCTGGCATGCGCAACACATGGCCCAGCCATCGGAGCCTGATGCGTGATTTTTTATTGGTGCTCAGCGGTTCATTCGCTCTTCTTGTACCAAATACACGACCCCAAACGCAATAATTGCTCACGCGGTGCACCCACTAGACATGAGCTAAGCTGCGAAAGCACCAACTATCGAACGTGACTAGCCTCTTTATATCTGTCGACCTGATGGGCCATGTTTCACAACCGTATAGGAGAATTGAAAAGACATCAGCATTATAAACTCGGCCTTTTACGGCTCGAGTGATGTCGAGTCGGCGCCATAAGTGACGCAGATTAGCAAAAGCCTCTCGAACTTTTGCTATACTGTTCGTATACGGTTCGTAACCTCTTCAATCCTACGGACAAAAATATAGCTGCACAGGTACTTGCATTCCTGTACGATCTCTAGCTGATCACAACCAAAGGTCAGCGCAGGGGTGGGTAGCTGCCAATCTTGGAGAAGGACTTTTCATTTCGATGGAGCGAAGCATAGCCCAAAACGATTGACAGCCAGTGCTAATCGTTCCAGTGCTGCTTGGCACTTTTGGGAGCTGTCACAGATTATGGCAATGTCATCCGCATACTCCAAGTCAAGTAGTTGCTCCAGACCTTGCAGGTCGTGTCCTGTGAACGTTGCCTCCATAATTTCGTCAATGAATAGGTGACAGCGAGCAACCTTGTCTCACACCGCTGGAGATATTGAAGGGCAGCGACAGTTTGCCATAAACGCTCACTCTGCGCGTACTATGCGCGTACAATTCTCTGATAATGATTACGTTTTTATCGGGCACACGTTTCCTCAGCAGACAGTTAACAAGGGCACATCTATCCACCGAATCGAAGACACCTTTTATGTCGAGAAACACGACAATGATGGGCCACCAACAAACATGGCAGTGTTCCAACAATTGATATAACGTGAAGATGTGGTCGATGCAGCACCGACCTCCAAGAAACCAGGCTTGTAACTCAAGGATCTGGGTGTCACGCTTGCCAGTCAGACTGGAGAACGACAGACGCAAGCAAGCTAGAGGCAACTGAGATCAGACTGATCCTTCTATGATTGCCGCATGCAGAACGGGAGCCTCCCTTGGAAATTGGGACTAGGACGGAGCGGCTCAACTCTGTCGGGACAGTTTCCTACTTCCAAAGTTTCACTAGTATCTCGTGTAAATCATTTACAAGGGCAGTGAAAAGGTGTATAACGCTGCGATGAGGCCGGTGTTACTGTATAGGTCATAGACCTGGCCAGTCCACGGCGAAGAGATTAAACTCATGGTCGTGTTTGATCACCAGCGCTTGCAGTGTATTGTTCAAGTCTTGTGGGAACACCGAATGAGCAATGTTGAGGTTTCCCAGTTGGTTGTTGGCAAGATGCCTCCTGGTGTCTCTTCCGAGTGTTTGATACATCTCAATCGCTTGCGTTGGCTGAGCAGTATGTCCATTGATCGGATTCCTCGTTGTGCATCATACGCCTTGGTTGCATCAACTTGGAGGAAGCTTCCAGATGGCCAGTCCATGATGTAGCATAGTGGCATGAAGAAATTGACTGAGGGAATTGGTAAAACGGGTGCGTGTCGTCTTCCAGGGTGGTGGCCTCGGAGTGGTCCACACCAGTGGTTGGAGACCGTGCAGAAATGGCGCACTCACGAAGTCAGTGACATTCCTGCATTCAGTTTCTTTTGTCTGCTTGTTAATTTTCGTTACGTTCTGATTAGTCTAATGCATTTCCTTCCTGCTTCTATCTTCGCAACATTCTATTCGCATTCAATCCAACTGTTGATCACCCTGAACAGTTGGATTGAATGTGTTGGATGTGGTGTGTATAATGAATGAATGAATGAATCCAACTGTTCTACCGTTTTGTTTTATTATTCTTCCAGTCGGTTCCACCCCACTTCGGTGCTCGGATCATGGTTGATCAACTGAACTGAATTTAACTGATCGCAGATGTCTTACATTAATGTTCGTATTCATTCCGATGGCTGTTGGCGTTTTATAGAAATCGTAAATTACGTGAAAATCATACGTTTATTCGGTTCTGGGATCGCTTGTCACTGCGGCCTCCATAGGACAGTCACTGGACGCCTTCGCCTACCGAGGGACATTTTCTGGTTTGCGCTGCACTGCCCAGAACTCCACTCACATACCTCATATCTAGTCTAACCCTCAAGTAATAAGACCAGGAATCAAGTGCATGGGAGCCATGACACATCAACGTAGCCGACCCACACTCCTTCTACATGCAAATCAACAGCATTCCTGTCTATCCGATTTGGGGAATGATGCGTACCAGACGTGCACCAGGCGGTGGCTGGGCCATAGTTCGCAGCACACTGCTTAGAACCGCTCTTTGTGGCTAGCACGCTCTAAGGACCGTGCACCCCGTCCCCTCCACCAACAGGCAAAAGTCTCTAGGGGCTATTATAGACGAGGTGGTTGGTAATAGACAGGTAGGCATCTTATCATCATTCACATGAAGCGCAGTCACACCGGGGATGTCAAGCGACAACCAATCACTTGAGAGGACAATTTGAAATAAAATATGTCGAATAAAGCATACGGATATGCCGACAAGTTTTCGCTAAATTATCATATGAAATTGATGTTTTATCAACACGTCAGCTATACATACAAGATGTCAGAGATAGAGATGATAAAAGGCAACAAACGCGAAAATAGTTATCGAACTTGACAGTCTTTCGTTTAAGTGACGTGTGCAAGTAAATAGATTATTCAGACAGGCATTAGAGGTAAGAAATTCGGCATTAGGATAATATAACCTTCCAGGCACCTGAAATGTAGAAACTCAGCACGCATACCCGCGGTTATTATATCGAATGGAAACGCATGCAGCGTACCTACCAACGCTGCGCCAGTTCTGATAACCTTCTAAGCAGTACCCATCGTGGTTTCATTGCTTTACCTGATTGGTCTCGCTTGTGGCTCACTAGGTGTGCCTGACTCACGTACGAGCGACCGTATGTGCCACAGTACCTTGCGCTCGACGTCGATGGGTTACTCTCCATCGTCACGTGTCGCTTCCGGACCTTTCGCTTCTTCTCCGCATTCACGAGGCCTTTCTCCTGCGACTCTGTAATTACCTACGTGATCAGATCGCATTATGCACGCTGATCAACCGCCATCTATTCCTAACACCTGAATTCCATATTGGATCATGATAGGCCCACCTTTGCCTTTAATACGCGGATGCGAACGTCATTGTATACTTACCGGTCAGTCGAAACCACACACCTAAGGTTGCATAAGTGGGAGGTAGTTTCCAATACGTCATCACCAATGCTGAATTGCTGAACCATTGCTGATTGCACTTCCGGTGAAGGCTGTAAGCGACCAAATTTTTGCTTGTGTTTATGGTGAGCCCGAACTTGGCCGCTGTCGAAGCCAGTGCACTAGTTATGTGCTGCAACTCATCCGCGCTGGTACAAACAACGCACAGTCGTAAACAAACAGCAACATACGGCTACTTGTCTCAGACTAGGCTTCTCGCACTGAAACGACGGATGTTCATCAACCCACCATCAATACGGTGCTCCACACGAACACCGTAGGCACAAGCGGCATCAAAAGCACAAGACATCATGACATGAAGATACATATTAAACAGGGCAGGAGCTAAGACACAGCCTTGCTTCACACCAGAGACAACTGCAAAGTCATCCGAGGTCTCTCCACTCAGCTGCACCCTAGCGGGCAACCAAACTTACCCAACACCAGCCACAATGCCTCACGGTTCACCGTGTCAAATGCCTCGGTGAAATCAACAAAACGCGAGTATAACGGCTGGTGTCGTTCTGTGCACTTCTCCTGCAACTGACGAGCCGCAAACACCATATGTATAGTGTTGCTACCCGAACGGAATCCACACTGCTCTTCCGCCACGTTAGGTTCCACAACCTGACTGACGAGGCGGTTGAGCAGGATTCGGGCAATCACCTTGCCCACACAACTCAGCAAGTTGATGCCACGATAATTCGTGCAACATTGCTTGCTACCTTTGCCCTTGTACAGTGGTAGCACAAGGGCACTCTTCAGCTCAGTAGGCACCTCCTCCTCAATCCACACTCTTTGCACCAAGTGGTGCAGCGCAGTCACCAACGCGGATCCGCCTTGCTTCAATACTTCCGGCGGTATCCCGTCGACATCGACACACTTGCCGTCTCTCAACTGAACAAGTGCTCTCTGCGTCTCATCCAGTGTCGGCGTGTCCGCCAGACTCGCCTTTACGTTGTGCTGCTTCAGGCCGTTCAATGTAGGCCAGTCAATCTCTGAGTGACTGTTCAAGAGTCAATCGAAGTGATTCCGCTAGACGTACATTATGTCTGCAATCTGTGTGCAGGAGCGCCTGAGCTACCATCGAGCAGCGTCCTCCGCGGCTCCAACCTCTGTCCATACGCCGCCTTCATGGAATCAGCCAATTCTTTGTGTTGGCGACGTTCCGCGTAGCATTCCATCTGCTTCTCCGTCCACCATACATTTTAATGCGACGGAGCTCTCGAGTCCGTCGCCATCGAATTTTGAGAAATCGACTCTTTTTCCTCAAGTCACTGGAGTCTACCATATATGCAGTAAATACTGCATTCTTCTCAGACACCAGTGCACCGTTGCTCGCATTGGCGTCATCGAACCAACCGGGCCGCTTGCAGTTTGCCCGTCCCGTGGTCTCGGTAACAGCTGTCACCATTTTCGCGAATGTGGTGTCACAGGCCGCCAGCTGTGGCTGTGCATTCCACATCACCCAGGCTTGTAGCCATCGCGTTCTCCAGCGCAATTCGCTTCTCCACCGTATCTAGGGAGAGAATAATTTTACTCCTCCGGTTCACGACAGGCACACAGTGCGTACTTTTTCGCACGTAGATGTTCAACTTGGTCCGCACCACTTTGTGGTCAGTGCCACATTCAACTCCGCGCAGTACACGTGTTATGCGCATTTCACGCATATCACGCTTATGTACGATGGCATAGTCGAGTCGGTGAGCGTGACCAGGCAGTGGATGTGCCCAGGTTGCTTCATCATTCGTATCTGGTTTGTGTTCGTCAGGCCGTAAGTGGCACATAGTGAGAGCAATCTGTAATCGTTCACGTTCAGTGAATCAATGCCATGCTGACCGATAACGTCTGTCCATACCGCAGCATCACGCCAAACGCGCGCGTTAAAATCACCCAGCAGAATTAGTCGGTCGCTCCTCGGCGCAGACTGTATCACGGAGAACAACTGAGTGTATAACTGATCACTTGTGTCCTCCAGTTAGCACATTATCGGATTGTACGTACTTATAAAAGTGGCAAACTTACCTCTTCCAAGTTTGTGACGAACAGTCATCAGTCGCGCGATGATGCCAGTTGCTTCACCCACCTGCTGGCCGTTTGAGCGATCGGATAGTGCAAATCCGACCCCATGTTCGCGTGGTATTGTGATGGCGCCTTCCACCCTGTAGTATTTATAGCCGACACCAGATTCTCATGCAACTTAACTTGCGCAGCGAGTAGGGTCTCACTGAGCACCACAATATCGATGTTTTAGCGTGCGAGTTCCGTCGCGAACTGTGCAGTGCGTCACTCGAGACGCTCACTCTTATTCTGCTTGAGCAAATTGCGCACGTTCCATCACCCAATGTGGAGCGCTTTGCTTTTGGAATAAGATTACTTTGGTCGGCAACCGTGTGGGCGGTGACGACGTGGATTGGAAGAAATTGTGGGTTCAGTGTAACGTGAACGGGGAGAGTATGTGCAGGGGAAGACGAAAGAAGCGCGGCTCCAGCAGTAGCATGTTTTCGTTTATCTACCCCGCTGTATGTAGCGAATTAGGCGACCCTTTTTCTAAGGCCAATGCGCAGGGGCATCAACAGTATGGGTCTATTATTATTATTATTAGTATTGACATGATTCATGTTTGGGATTGGACTGGTGCACTGTCAAGGTATCCACACCTGGCAGGAGAACTACTCGGGTCCTCAGCCAAATCCACAGGTAAAGCATACACCCGAAAGCTAGCTGGACAATCGCCATGAGTCGGTGAACTGGCTCACGCGGAATTGTTTGTCCTGTATCTTAACTGGAAGAAGTGTGTAACCCAACTCCTACCAAGCGGTCACCACGAGGATGCGTTCAGGACATGAGCGTACAGCAAACTATTAGCACCTGCAGGTGGACGATCTATCAGATTATGGCCACCACGAGCTTCAGTCACAGGACACCTGCTGCTGCTGAGGGACTATGGGTTGCTTGCGCTGCACCACCGTCAGCTCCAATCACACACCCATATACTGTGTAAACCCGAAGAGAATAGTACCGTGATTCGTATTACGGGAGCGACGATTGATTCCTAGCCAGTTCACGCTCCTTCAACATACACATCATTCACATGGAGCTGGGGGAAATATGCATACCTGACGTAGACAGAGAGGCTGCCTGGCCGACGCATGATCCTAATCGGATAAAACCACTCTTTATGCCCTTCACTGTCAAAAGGACTATGCATCTAGTCTTCCCATCAGCCGTTAACACTGTTGAAATCGGCAATCGAGGTGGCGGTGTTCGACAGGTAGCCACTGTGTCAACATTCGCATCAACTGGAGCCAAATTTGGTATACTAATCGCTGGACGCTGTCGTACATGCAAGAACACAGTTACACGGGTACCTGTACAAACCAACAGCAACGATGATGCTGAACACGTGCCACATCTGCCATACTATCGACCTGGGTTATTGATTGAAGCCAGAGGCAGTGTATTTACACTATACTGGCATTCACTTATCTCCTCCTCAATATGTCTTTCTGTTTACCACATTGATGACTTACCAGACCTCGTCTGAAGTGCATAACGTCGACCATCTGGTCTCCAGTCGCACTTGACGCCTACGTAACCAGTGTTTTTCTTCCTATTGCACCAATGCTCTCTCATGTTCCTCTGCAGCAGCACTTTTGATGCGATTATAGTACCTGCGGCGATTCACTGTTACTATTTTCCGACACCTGGTCAGTACTCGTTCACGATAAACGTAATTTAATAATGTGCTGATAGTGTTACTTCTGTTTGCCTACATCACACTAACCTACTACCTCCTACTTGCTTTTGACCTGTGGGTTTCATGATATGCTTATCTTTATTGTTTATTCTGGCTTCTCAATGTCGGCGAGCTTTTTCTTTATTCCTGTCATTTTTGGGTGAATCTGTTTACCACACACCTGAATTCTGGATACTTTAGTATTCTTTGGAGCGTTACTTCTTGACCAGTCTCGCTGGACTGTCACAGACAGAAATCGATGGAATAACCCGCATCCCTCTGCACCTGCTGCACCAGGTTTTTGTCGTTGTACCTTCTCAAGAATCTCAATGACATGTGTGGAGCTCATCAGCTTTTACTTAATTCTCTCTATCGCTTTCCACATCTCTTCGTCACCATTTATCTGTTTACCTGTTGTTATAACCTGACTCGTAAGCTGTACTACAAACTGGACAATTTCGGAATACCTTTTTCCCTTTGGTATCATCTTTGATCTTTGCAGCTAATCGCAATCACTTTGATGACCCCCCTTTTGATAAAAAAACATTTCTTTCCTTCCTGATGTTTGCTACTTGCACTATAGCCACGTATATGGTTACATCACCAATGGACCTCTCAAGACCTCCCCACCGGCTCCTCCAGTTCCCGTGACTGCTCTGATTGGAGACGCCCAAGCTGCCACTTTGGCAGAACATTGCCTCGAGCCAGGACAAGCTAAGCTAACTCTGGGGACGGGCAGTTTTCTTAATGTGAACACCGGACATCAGGCACGTGCTTTTGCTGGTGGTGAGTTGTCATTTTACTTTTCCACCTTGGTTTTATCTTCTTTTCTGGTTTGCATAAAAGGTATCGGCAGTACGCCGATACGCAGTACCTACGCTTCGTTGCCGCGCGACCACCAACAGTCGCGCGTGGACTAAGGATACTGCGAAGGTTACCCTGTCCTCTACGCAGGCTCGAACCCATGCGCCCTCAGACTACAAGGCAGGCTTGCGATTCTTTAGGCCACGGGCTGGCTGAAATGGTAGCCTGCTTTAGATAAGAGCTATCGTGATGCTACTAACCAATTAGACAACAAGATTGGGGTTATATCACTCCGATACCGTCAGCGCGATAAGTATCTCCTCACCCGCTCTACCTATGTGGCATCTGATTTGTTTCCACTATTGATGTCCTTGTCTTATTGCGTGGGAAGGCATCTCCTAATTTTGTCTTTGTCGGTTTTTCCTGTAACAACCATGTACCCAAATTAAAATGACCTTACTTTTACATGCAAATCACAGTCACGCGGCATCACGTCAATGCGTAGATTTTTGCCAATTAGACACATTAACCGTTTTAATTGTTAGTTGCCTCCTTGATTGCTTCCACATATACAGTGTGTTACTCGCTAACTAATCAGTTAACGTTTTTGGTGGCATGTGTCGGCTTCTATCTCAGTTGACAATTTCGCATCAACAATTGAAACCTCAGCTATCAACCGTGGCTGTATGTGTGTGTGTCTGTGCTTGTGCACGTATTTTCTCGTCTTGGCAACCGTTTATCACCAAATCGCTATTTCATCTACAAGCGCTCACACTATGATTGAATCTACGTTCGATGTTCTCCGTTTGTTGAATGAAGCGCTTCTCATCTTGGTGCTCACTGACTCAACAGTTTGATACGATTATTTTCATGGAAACCCGCTCTCTCGTTAGTTGCATACTTTGTGTAACACGTTCGGTTGTACCACTTCTCCAAGAGACTCGTCTACCTTTTTATTTTTAATGTTCTCTTGGAGAAGTACTTATTCTTCTTCTTTATCCTCAAAGGAGTCTCTGTCTGCCTCGATGCGAAAACGGTCTGATTTACTTAATCCAGGTAGTCTCGCGTCGCCTTTAGGCTCTTGCATATAGATGTTCCGCCACAGCGGAACGTTTAGAGGTGACCAACCGAAGACACTATGATGCTCATAATGTGTTTTCACCATATCCAGCTTGTCCCCATCCACAAACTGGTTTCCGTTTACTTCTTGAGCTACACACTTATCTAAAATAGAGTTAAATTCGATTTAGTATCACTGTCGCATTGGGCCTCATACCTTTCACAGGATTCTACCCTGTAATTGGCTGGGACACCGGTTGTTCTTCTGTCGATGATTCTCCCTCCGAACTGCACTGTACCCAATTGAAATTTTCGAGACGTTCCTCTTGTCCGACTTACTTATTGGAGAACTCGCATCAAAACACAGGCACAGTCATTGAATGGTTACGTTCTGAGGGTGAGTTACCAGCTTCTGGAGTTTTCCCGTTGAGTCTGATGTAGCTTTTTTGTGGCTGTTTTCTCTGGTGCATTACGCGTAGCCACAATTGTGTGTTACACCTTTCAGCCCAGATTCGGTCATTGTGTCTGCACCCTGTTTTTAATCTTCTCACTAGATGCGATTCCAAAATAGGCACTTTACTGCTCCACCAAACTTTTAGCCTAACCGAAGGCAAAAAGCAGAACACCAATGACCTTGACAAAACTGTATAACTGCAGCAGATCTTGGCTATATCTATAGGTCTCTTACTGATCTTCGACTTCTGACGTAGGAAGATCAACCGCCAAGGTTAGTTGTTCCCCATAGTTTTGGCCGATCTTCAGGAGGTTGTTAGTTACGTGTAGTCACTGGAATATTCTAGAACTTCTGAAATCGTTGCGTTACTCGATATCGATCGATTAATCTATGAAATAATGGATTTTTCGGGCAAATTCTTTAATCTTCTCCCGGACACACCCATTAGCTGGATTTCGCTCTTTCTAATCACTGAAATGTTTTTATTAACATCAATTCCATGCCGCACATCGTTTGGAGCACTCAACTCGGATCATTATTTCCAGACATCTGTTGCCAAGTTTCGTCGATTCTACTCAGGCTACGCCATCCCACGCGACTAGTGTACTACTACATGCTTTAACTGTCGAAGACAAATGACTTTGGGCTGCCTAGACTTATCTGTTGTAGTCGTTCAGAAGCACAGCTCACACACGCTACGTCTATAAACAATATGAGTCGTAGACATTAAAAGTATCATCCATATACCTCCACTGTGCATTGAGCGAAGAGATTGCTGACTTTAGTAGTCCACGTACAAACTAGGCTTGGAAAGTACCTGCAAGAAACGATCTGAAGAAGACCCCAACGCCCCAATGTCTATCTGCCTATGATATACTCCATCAAATAGGAACTGTCTGTTGAAAGTACACCGCAGAATTACTACTCAAAATCTAACTTCTGCCAGTCCTCGAAATGCTGTAGGAATTCACGGCACTAGCAAAGTAAGTCCTGACTGTGACGGCCAACCACTGTCCTCTGCACCGGAAGTAGTCTGTATGTTAGTGCAGGATGGGTCGGACTATATCCCAATTCGATTATAATAGAAAAGAGAACTCCTCTTTGAAAATTGGATTTCTGCTTCTATCGCAGGCACAAGTTATTAGTTAAAAAATACCGATTCTTTTAGTTTTTCCATTGTACCGCATCAAATGCATCGTTCATCTCACATCTACCGGATAGATCTTGAATAAGCCTACCCACTGATTTATCGGGAAGAATTAAATGTTTACTGTGAAACCATGGATCACTGCATTTTGATGCTGAAATGCGCTGCTGCGGGACTGGATTTGCCCGGAGCACTGAGTGCCATATACTTAGACGGACGGCTATCTCCAAGTCTTGCAACTTAGGTTGCCCCTGCCCGCACTATTTTCCTTTACTCTCATTCACAACTGCTGCGATTTAATCCGGCATTATTGCAGGCACATACATTATGGTGCAAATCGTCGGTTATTTCGATTTTATGGTACGCATGGAATTATTCATCGTGCCGGCACCGTGTTGCGTGCCTGGTTCTCCCCGCCCCCTCAAGTGCAAGAACTCGCACCGGCTCTGCAGACAAACGTTCTATTCCCCAATCTGAGATAAAGTACAACTAGCTGTGTAGTTAAAACTCACACTGCGGCAGGTGATTCCAATCACCCCAGCTGTCAGCCACATCACTCACGGAACCTATTGAGTTACTGCAGATGGCATTTTCAGAGCCATCCATGTCAATGGCTCCCTTTCCCCCACAGCAGTCTGCTGGCATGAGCGCCATTTCTTGTCCCTGGGGGTGTGGTTGCAGCACTTGATGATTTGCTGCTACCCGCATCGCGCCAAGCAGCCCTTAGGCACCAATTTGTCAGCTCTAACCTGCGTTTTTTTGCCGTAGGAAAGAAATACACTGTGAAACTTATTCTTACTTCCACGAAATTGTATGTGATCAACTCCAGGCAGATCCCACTAACTCGAAAACGTTGTAAAGAACACTTTTTCGATAAATCTCATCAGGCGTTTACGATTATAAAATGGAAAGTTGAAGCAGGTTAGGCTGGTGAAGCACGATAAAGATTAGCGCATCAGAGCGACGCTGAACTGTCTTAATCGATAAATTGATCGCTCTACTCAAGCTGCGGCTACCACAGTATACGTAAGCAGACATAGGCACACACATGCTCAAGAGACATAGCACGTGCTTTTCAACTGGTTAGGTGACACACCCATCACCTGGTGGTTGTCGGCGTGTAAAGTAGGACCTGTTTGGAAGTGTTTTAGCCCCAGGGCAGTAGGAGCGCTTGAATAAGCGCCCTCTGTTTGCATAGTTTAGCTTGTGTAAGCCTGTTCGCAATGCCTTCGGCCGTCCATAACATTCGTTTCCTAAGCCCCTTGGGGTATGGTTTTGGTACAACATAAAACACTGAAATTATCACTAGTCTTGATCTCTTGTCCACCTGCGACCAGCTGTTCTAGGATAAACTTCTGATGCAACCGACAGTACCTTACCGTTGATTCAAACGACAAAGTTCAATAGCTCCAATGTAAACAACTTGTTGGAATGATCAATCAGAGTTTGTCATTTGCCATAAGACATCCTTACTATAAACGTTTTCTGGAATGTTTTCCCTCAACTTACCAACATGGAAGGAGACCGTCCCGACTAACTCGAGTAAATCGATTGTAGTGGCACTATACAAGTATGATCCGAAGTCAGGAGAAGCGAACATGACACATGACAAAGTTCACCGATTCATTCAAACTAATCTATCAGGCCCCAAAGCACCGCTCGAACTGCGTCCGTAAGCGATTACTAGAAGCCGCTGAAGCAATTGCGATCAGGCTGTATGAACCGGAGCTATGTGTTCAGAAGAAGCTAACTAAAGGCTTGGAACTGCCCTGGCCCAAACGGCCGGTGACCTCTAACCCACGAGGTCACACGCGGTCGATTGTCGTGGCTTAACAGACAGCGCTGTCAGCATCCAATTAACTCGCTCCACTAGTAACGACTTATAATGTCTGTCTACATTTTGATTTTGATTTTGCATATAATTGTATAAGCCTGAAGATGAATTATCGAAAACATATGTTCGCTTACCCTGACTTCGGATCATACTATCGGCTTTTTCAAAACTATACAAGTATGCCACTCCCACCAACTGTACGAACCACGAGGGTATTAGCTTAACGTCCGTAGTGACAAAATTACTGGCCTCAATCCTCTTTCGTCACCTAGCTGCGAAACGGGAATCTCGGAGTAGGGAAGAGCTTGTAGGTTTCCTTCCACGATGTGGCTGTATAGACAACATATTCACTCTGCGGCAGGTGCGAGAGCAGCGCCAAGCATACCGCAAACCGATAACACCTGTGTTCCTCGATTTAAAGAGTGTGTTCGATTCGGTTGACCGGCGCATTCTGTTCGAAATACTTGTGCGTAGAGAGGTGTTCCCACGAAATATGTGAAGATCCTATGTGCTCTATACCCGAACACTCCAGGCCGCGTCAGGGTCTAAGGTGACTTGTCGGATAGATTTCCGACAACAAGTGGCGTTCGTCAGGGTTGTCCGATTTCCCCATTTTTGCTCAATTTCGTCATCGACTGCATCATGGGATGGTCTCTTACAGAATTACAAGATATGGGCGTTGAGATTCTGCCTGGTAAAAGGCTAGTTAATCTTGATTAGGCGGACGATTTCGTCTTGCTGTTTAACGATGTTGGGGTGGAGCAATCAACCCTGAAGAGCCTATGTAGAGTGGTTTTATTATTTGGCATGCGCTTCGCAACTTCAAAGTGTTGCTGCAGGACCACCAGCCACTTGATGATCCCTTGACCCTTGATAGCGAGGAATTCGACTTGGTTTACCGATTCGCTTACCTTGGCAGCTGTATCAGCAACGATGGGTGCATAGCTACCGAGGTCAGTTCACAAATTGTAAAAGCCCAAACTGATTTTGGAATCTGCGACATCTTTGACGACAGAACGGGTTTCCCTTCGTTTGAAAAACCGTCTTTACAAGGCGACAGAGGGGACCGTCCTGCTCTATCGTAGTGAAACTTGGCTCCTTCGGTTTGAAGATCTGAGGCACCCACAAGTCTTTGATCATCGCTGTCTGCGCAGCATTGTTGTTGGTGTAGGGTGGCACCTGTGTGTCCGCAACGATGATGTGTGTAAGCGAGTTCTAGACAGTGATAACAAAGCTAGTTCCTTAGAACAACAGATAGTACTGAAAATGTTGCATTCGCTTGGGCATGTGCTACGTATGACCAGTTACCGCTTACCAAAAATCGTCTTGTTTTGTCTGCTAGAGGTAGGGTGGCACAAGGCTCAAGGTGGACAAAAGTTGACTTGCCAACGAGAAATGAAGTCATTGACGACTAAACTTGGTGCCGTCGGTCCGTCTCACCTTCCGGGATGGAGTCCACGTGACTCGCTTTGTGCTTGGCTCGAGATTTTACAGGATATGGCTCGCAGTCGGCACCAGTAGCGCGTCTGCTGCCCTCTCCTAGTTGCACTGCCTGTTTAGAGTGTGTTGGGTGCTGAGTTATCTGCGAGATAATGGCTGACGCGTGGCGCTGAAAGCCGCAAGACATCTCTCTCTCCTGATGCCGCCTTATCTTTGCACGATAGCCATCTGTCTGTGATGGTATGTTGTTGACAAGGTGTAGGCGTCTTGACTCCGAATTTTTCTAAGATCATTAAGGTTTTCAGGTAAGTCCCCCTTCTCTCCCTCTTATTATTCTTCGTTCCCTAGGTCGTTATGGTTGTACGGCAGCGAAGCATCAGTTCAAATTGCTGATGTACTGCTGTTGATGATGATGAGGAGGAGGAGCTATGCGTCCACATACCGAAAGCGACTCTTGCGTTTGGAAAGTTGGGAAAGAGTGTGTGGAACAACCACCAACTTCCTGTTGAAAAGAAATTAATG